CACCATGATCCCATCAACACAATTGACAACACACCCTCACCTCAGTCAGGAAATTCTGCTGCCTGGGTAGCATACTTTCCAGCAATGCCAGGTTGTATGATGAGATCAATCAGTACCTGGCAGAGGCCAGTTTGGAATTTGACAGGCTCCCCCACAGGCTCTGAAGGAAGTGTGGAGTCTGCCACAGAATTAAAATAAAAATCTATTCTGCTATTGTACTCACCTCACTCCTCTATGGCTGTAAGACATGGATGCTCTACCAACATCACATCAAGCAGCTGCAGAGCTTCCAACTTCGCTGCCTAAGATCCATGTGCAACATCAAGTGGCAGGACAGGATCCCCAACACTGAAGTCCATGGGAGGTGGCAAATCCCTGGCATCGAGAGCATGCTCATCAGCGCTCAATTTTACTGTGTTGGACATGTATACTGAAAGCAGTGCTGTACAGCCAGCTGAGCACAGGAATGCATTTTAAGGTAGACACATCTTTAGACACCTTGAAGGCCAACCTCAAAGAATTCAAGATAGACCTTAGAACTGGGGAGCTTGTTGCACTGGACAGATGCAGATGGAGAGGTCTGTGCCATGAGACCATGCCCATTTTTACGGAGCGGTATGTGAGGTCTCTGCAGGAGAAGAGAGCATATCTTAAGGCCAGTGCCTCAAACCTTTTTCCCAACGATGACTACACTTGAAAGATATGCAGTCACGGTTGCAAATCCGGGATTGGATTTGCTTCCCACGTGAGAATCCATGGAAACAAACTCAGAACTCACGTCCATGCTAGCTGAAGGCTCATCCACTGAAGTGACGGGAGAATCCAACAGTCATTGATCAAAAGTAGAGATTGTGATCTAGGGACTTTGGGATGAACGTTTGGAAGGGAGATAGCGATGTGCACTGAAAAATGGATTTAGATAATGGCTGGATGTATGGCTCTTGAACAAATACCAGCACCATCCATCCCCTAAGTGCTTGTCAGAGTTTTGCATTGATGATGTCAACAAATTCTGATCTTTGTTCTTACAAATGTTTGTGGCTCTAGATGGTGGTTCTCCCAAAGCTCAAACAAGCAAAGAGTTGCTTTGTCTTCAGACTGAAGCTCATGGTCTAAAGCAGAGTTAATGAGATTATATATTTTTGGCTACCTGCATAGTAGAAGAAATATCAACTCTTCAAGCACAAATCAAAGCAAAACTAAGTACTATAAGGATTGGTAAATAGGTTGAAAGGAAAGTGTGCCAAATGTGCCAGAATCTTACACATTTCTCTCATTACTCCCACTAAATCTTCCCTTTAGCTTTTCTTTTTGTAATGAAGGATTTCATTTCATTTCATTGAGGTTTGAAAATGCCTTGTCATTAAATTGTCAGTTTGACAGTTCAGTTTCACTTGTGACTTGATGTGGGCTTGAGTCAAAGCCCAGAGAGGAGTGACTACTATAATACGCTAGAAAAATTACTCTCAAAATGTCATTTTAGTACTGTAATTATGACGCAGACTCCCACAGTACAGGAATGAACATAAGTCATGTTTTAACCAGTAAACCAAACATAACGTATGTACTGATAAATTACTGACTGATCTGGCAGCTGCCTTTTATACTCTAAAACTGAGATGAGCTGGCAACCTATATAATCAGAAGGCACAATGAGTTTCCCCCCTTCTACTCTAAGTTTACAAAAAATGTTTAAACCATAAGTGTGTAAAGCCTCATGGGTGTGTAGTCTCTTGCCCTCAGTGATTTGGACCGTATCTGGTTGCTACCTGCAGTTTTAGATTTATTCACGATCGTTGCCCATCAAGAGCTCAAGCACCTTGGGCCCTACAGATAGGGGCTGGCTCCAGGAGGTGTTGCCTCTCCCTGAAGGAGCCCAGTGCCGGCTGGCAAGAGTGCACCGGGGCACGGCTTGGATCTGTGCCACCCGCCCTGTCTGGGGAGCGCCCAGCCATGCAGAGGTGGTCCAGCTTGGGGAAACAGGGCAAGGAGCGCTCCCAGGCAGCCAGCCAACACCCCAGCTCCCATAGTGCAGAAAGCTAGGGGCCTGAGCACGCCATGTGGCTCCCATCAGCTTCTGATCTGCTGGTTCCTGGCAGGAGGCAACGGCTTTCAAACTGTGAGGTACGTCGCCACGGTTTGAAAACCTCTGTGCTAAATGGAAGGCAGAAATCTGGGGATGGGGGCCCGTGACTCCATGTGCCCCCCCTAAACTGTTCCATTTTTCCACCCCCCCCACTGTTTTGTGCCCTGGGCGGCTGGTCTGCTTGCCCCACACTGGTTATGCCCTGATGTAATGATGGGGTAATAGGTGTCTGGGCTAATTGTATGACCCTTGCAAATCATTCATATAAGTTGGACTTGTTTAGGTTTTTCTTAGGCTTTCTTTTTGTATCGTTTCTTTTATCCTTGTTTGCTTCTTACCTAAAGGTTCATGTAGCTGTTCTAGTAGTTAAGAGTAGCTTCAGTAACTAATGCTGCAATTAAGATTCCCCTCATTCTCCCGCCCCCTTCCCCTGCATGTATGTTTTTGGTTGTGTGTGATATTTGTTGCTTTTTGTGCCATGGCTGTTACCAAATAGACCTACATGAAAACACATTCTAAAAATGTATACATGCAGAGTTTTTTTTCTCTAAGTGTTCAGATATGGAATCATAAAAACGTAGAGCTGGAAAGGACTTCCAAAGATCAAGTCCAGACCCTGTGTTTAGATTTACTTGGTCCTACCTCGACCATCTCTGACAGCTTTTTGTCCAACCTTTTATTAAATACCTCCAGTGATGGGGGTTCCACAACTTCCCTTGGAAGCCTGTTCCAAAACTTGACTTCCCTTATAGTTACAAAGTTTTTCCCTAATAGCTAACCTAAATCTCCCTTGTCACAGATTAAGCCCATTTTACTACTTGTCCTACTTTTGATGGACCAGAGCAACTGATCACCATCCTCTTTACAACACCCTTAACATATTTGAAAACGGTTCTTAGGTCCCTGCTTAGTCGTTTTTGTGTGTGTGAAGATTAAATATCCCCTGTATTTTTAACTTTTCCTTATGGGTCAGGTTCTCTAAACCTTGCATTGTTTTTGATGCTGTCCTCTGGACACTCTCCAATATGTCCAAATTTTTCCTTAAGAAAAAAAAAAATGTGGCATCCAGAATTGAACCCAGTACTCCGGTGCAGGCTTCACCACTGCTGAATAGAGTGAGACAATTACCTCCAATGTCTTTCTTATGACACTCCTGTTAATACACCTTAGAATGACATTAGCCTTTTTCTCGACTACATGGTTGACTCCTAATCCCTTTTGTGATCCCACTGTAACCCCAAGACTATTTTTAGCAGCACTACCACCTAGCCAGTTATTACCGATTTTGTAGTTGTGCATTTGATTTTTTTTCCTTCCTAAGTGTAGTACTTTGCATTTGTCTCTATTGAATTCCATTTTTTTGGATTGCAGACCAATTCTCCAATTGTTAAGGTCATTTTGCATTCTAATCCTGTTCTCTAAGTGCTTTCAACTCCTCACAGCTTGCTGTCATTTGCAGATTTCATAAGCATATTCTCCACTCCATTATTTAAGTCATTAATGAAAATACTGATTAGTATGGGATCCAGGAGAACCCCCTGAGGGACCCTGCTAGAAACACCCTCCCAGTTTGACAGCGAACCATTGATAACGATCTTTAAGTATGGTTTTTCAACCAATTATGCATCCACCTCTCAGTAATCTCATCATCTTTCCCTAGCTTGCTTATGAGAATGTCATTTGGGACTGTAAAGCCTTATTAAAATTAAAATATTTCCTCTCTACTGCTCCCACTGCCCCCCCCACCCCAATCCACTGGGTCAGTAGCCCTGTCAAAGAAGGAAATTAGGTTGGTTTGGCTTGATTTGTTTTTGACAAATTCATTCTGGCTATTCTGTCTAACCCTATTATCCTTTAGGTGCTTACAAATTGATCAATAATTTATTGGCGTTTAAGGGGCTTTGTTTTTAAGCAAAAACTTCCAAAACCATAAATTAGTGTAACTGTTACAGTAGTTATCAAGTGCTTGTGTCCCTTTTTGGGCTATCAGTGCCCTCTAGGGGTAAAACTGAAAATTGTCATAACTACTCATTTTCTCAAGAATAACCACATGGTTAAGGTTAAGATTTTGTCCGTTATTTTTAGTAAAAGTCACCGACAGGTCCGGGGTAATAAACAAAAATTGACTTGTCAGTGACTTTTACTGAAAATAATGAGAGGAGAGAGGGTGGGAGGGGGAGGAATGACACCTGGATCCCCATAAGGGTGGAGAGGGGGCTGACAGTCCCAGCCCCATCACCACGGGGCAGGGGGCACAGTCCTGGCTCCAGCCCCTGCCAAGGCTGCAGGATGGGGCACACAAGAGCGGCTCCAGCTGCGGGGGGTGGGCGCACAGATAATAATTAGATATTATGTTAAGCTGACAATGGTAGTATAATAGGAATCCTTTATTGAATCTTGTCTCCATGTTTTAAACTTCTAATGCAAGATGTTACAATTGTTCATATTCTGATCATTCATAACTTCCCCTTTTTTTTGGTTTGCAGATGAAAACACTAAGGAAGCTTTGCAGGTGAAGAAAAGTCTGAGTGAGAAGGTTTCTCTCTACAGAGGCGACATTACATTGCTTGAGATTGATGCTATAGTTAATGCAGGTAAGTAATCTTTTAATGTGGTTATATTTAGAAACTTGCAGTATTTACAGTTCTGGGGAAAAAAAGATATATAACATGACTACATTCTGTGGAAACCATAACACGTAGAAACTGCTGCTCATAAAGTTTGCAAGCTGTGTACAGCAGATAATTTCATTCTGTACCATTATTGTTAAGACTTTTGTAAAAGCACAAACTGTATAGTGGGTGTACGATATAAGATCACTCATCTCTATTTTTTTCTTAATTTGGAGAATTTGCACTTTGTGGCAAAACACTAAAATTAGATGTTAGAGATTAGACTACTGTAATACGATGTACCTGAGGCTGAAGAATGCAGCAGGTGATTTATTTTAAAAGTATTTCACTGGGAGATGAGAATTTTGGGAACTGCATTAATTTCTTACTGGTTTTTATGTATATCTTAAAGTTTTGGTGTTAACATGTAAAGTCCTGAATGGCTTGCTTGAGAGACCATCTATCTCCCTATACTGTACTGCCAGGTTGCATTCAACAGAGATTCTGGAGCTGTTTTGAGAGAGGGAGCTGCTGGCAGCACATTCTCCATGAAAGAAGGCCACATTATTTAGGCATTCATTCTCCTCCATGGTAGGAAATAGCCAGAATGTGTTGACCTTTGGTGGCCTTTGTACTGTGCCAACAATTTGTTTAGGCATTTGGAGAGAGTTGTGGAACTATTTTTCACAGAGGAGTATCTTTGTTGTAGTCATTGGGTGTAACAGATGTAATTTAAGAGTGCTGAGTTACTTGGAAGTTGTTCTTGTGGTATTGTCTATTTAAATATTGCAAGGATACACAGAGCCCAACAAAAGTTTTCGTATTGTATAAAGAAATAAAATTAGGGTTGTGGGTTTTTTGTTTTTTTGTTTTTTTGTTTTTTTGTTTTTTTGTTTTTTTGTTTTTTTGTTTTTTTGTTTTTTTGTTTTTTTGTTTTTTTGTTTTTTTGTGGTGGTGTTGTGGTGGTGTTGTGGTGGTGGTGTTGTGGTGGTGGTGTTGTGGTGGTGGTGTTGTGGTGTTTTTTTGTTTTTTTGTTTTTTTTGTTAGCATTAAGTCTTTTAAAATTTAACCTCACAAAAAATGTTGTGGGAGCTGGTTGGATTCTCATAAAGATTTAAAACCACTGATATGGAAGGATGTATTAATCCAAGGTATTGAATATCTATAAAATACTTATGCAAATAGTTATGACAAAGTGTGAATTATACTGAATGGCAAAGTGTTAGTCTACTAAAATTTATTTTAAATAGATAGAATCTGTGGAAAACATGCTGATGTTTCTCAATGCTGTTTCTTACATAGAGTTCATAACATTTTAAATCATGAGGGGAGGGGAAGAATCATTTCTGGTTTACTTCTTTCCAGATCCCAATCTGTAGTGTTACTCCAAGCATCGCAGCTAAATGCAAGGTGGAACAATTGCTAAACAATCTGTTTAATTGTTAGGTTAATTCCTAAACTAGCAGAATTTCATTAGAATTTATGACTCTATGGGGGAAAAAAATCCATGAAACCATGTTGCACTAAACTTGCAATTGTTAATTGAGCTGTAAATACACAATTTTTTTTTTAATCCTGTATTTTACTATTGAAGCCATGGGTGGCGGGTGAAGCTTCCCCTTGGGGAGGCTAGCCCGCTGTTCTCAGCCCCCCCCGCATGGCCCCAGCCAGGGTGGACAGGAGTAGGTGCTGAGAGCTCAGTCAGGGTCGTGGGGGAGGGGACAGCACTGAGAGCTCGGGACTGCAGCAGAGCCCCTCCTCTGCCCCATTCCGCCCCCACTCACTCCTTTCCGCCCCCACGTCCCCGAGATGGGAAAAGCTCTGTGCCCCTGCCAGGGCCGCAGCAGGAAGCCAGAGCTCCTCCAGCCACAGGGCCATGGCAGGGGGAGATGGTTTCCAGGGGTCCCAAATTGGCCAGTGCCCTTGGACACAGGCCCGATGGGCCTGTGTCCCTGCCCCTGTCCCTCCCCCGGCGGCATGAGGCTGGCAGAGGCTTAGGCTCCCCAAGCCTCCATTACTCACTGCCCGTGGTTGAAGCAACATTAATGGCCCCTTGTTATTTAGGACATGCAGTTTATCTTAATGCAACAAAACCTTCTGTTCATTATCTTGCTCTGTCTTGGTTATATTTATGTAAGCAGAGTCAGGATGAGCTCTACCCTGACATCTGGTGGCGAATTATGGCGAGTGTGGACAAGAACTCCAGGGGCTGAGCTTGTTTGCATAGGCACACCCACCCGCCTGGCATGAGACAACAGCAACTGATAGTGGTTACTTTGGATGGGGTGGGATCCCCAGTTTCTCTGTTATTGGGGCAGGAGGAATAAAGTGTTGTTACCCTGATTATGTGAATCAAGGACAATGAAACTGTTTTATGACAGAGGATCTCACCATCACCTAAGTAGCATTCGCTAGACAAGGGACACGGGTTCCACAACCCAGTGAATTGAGAGAGGATAGGGACAGGTATTTGTACCAGATGGTATGGCCCCCTTTTGCAGGCCTGAAATACCAGTTGCACTACCTCCTCTCTCCACTGTTGAATGTCAGAGCTAACTTTGATTCTATTAGGAGTCTAGTTACAGGCTGCTGAGCTGAATTCACTTGGGGCCAATGGTGCACCAGCACTGGAGCTCCCCTACTACGAGCTGAAATCACTAAGAGCCGAAATCACAAAAGAGCTAAAGTTACTGAGAGCTGAGATCACTGAGTGCTGTGTTAACTAGTGGGGGAGCCTGAAGCTATATTGCTAAGCGGCTGGCGGAGCAGTTTGCGGAGATGGCTGGAGGAGCAGCGTGGAGCCTTGCGGGGATGGTTGGAGTGGCCCAAGGAACGGCAAGCGGAGCTGTTTGTGGGGACGGCTAGAGTGGCTCACAGGTCGGTGAGCGGAGCCATTTGCGGGGGCGGCTGGAGCGGCTCACAGGTCGGTGAGTGGAGTGGAGCAGCTTGTAGAGCAGAGCAGTTTGTGGGACGGCAGGAAGTGGACTGGCTCGTGGTGAAGGCTGCGGCGGAACCTCACGGAGAGACGGCCGGTCGGCCTCAGATCACGTAAGGTGCCCCTTAACACCCTGCGTGCCCCCCTTTTTACTCTGGGGCTGCACTGACCAGGGATAGAGACTTTGGGGGTTGTTGGACTTTTGGGACTCTGGGTGATCTTTGGGTTGCTGGATTCAAGAACCAAAGGGAAAGGACACGGCCCAATTTGCTGGGGTGGGTCTTTTGCTCATGGTTTGTGTTAGGAATCCTGTTTTGTGGTGTTTTTTCCAATTTTAATGCTGATGTTGTTTACCTCATGTTATTAAATATTTTCTGCTACACTCAGACTCTGTGCTTGCGAGAGGGGAAGTATTGCCTCTTAGAGGCGCCCAGGGGGTGGTATGTAATTGTCCCAGGTCACTGGGTGGGGGCTCGAGCCAGTTTTGCATTGCGTTATTTAAACGGAACCCCTAGATACAGAACCTGGCCCTTGTTGCTGCCAACTTAGATGGGCAGAAGGGTTACATTTAGAAGTAGGTAACCTGGAGGGAAGCTGTTTTCCAAGTATTAACCTACTTCCTTCACGCAGGCACAAGATGATATACAATGGCTTTCTGTTTTTATTTTACTTGGTCTTTACTGAAACACTCAGAACAACAGAGTAGTGCTTGAAAAGGAAGCTGCCATATATGGTGTGTTTTGTTCTTATAAATTTGTCTCTCTCTTGCTTGGAGACAAGACTGGAGCTGGCTGAAATTTTTTGACTGTTTTTCATAAAGACTTTTTTTTTTTAAATAAATTTTTGCAACTTTTAAATTTTCTGTTTTTCAATTAAATTGAATAAATATTTAGGTTTTTCTTTGTTTTTTGGCTGATCAGTTTTCCTCCCCCCACACCTTTCCCCCTCTTCCTTGCCTTCCATGCCCCCTTTTTGTTATAGAGGGGAGGGGAAATGAGACTGGTTGACTGGTGTGGATGAAAGAAACAGGAGGGGGAACAGAAGAAATGAGAGAAACTTTAAACCAAAATTGTTTTGAATAAAAGAAAAATGACTTCCTTTTGAAACCTGCAGAATGAAAATGAATTTGCAATTTTGATTTTTTCTTTTTTCCCAGCCAGGTCTGCTAAAGACCCAGTCTACTCCTATCATTTTCCTTCCCAAAACTTGTAATGATTATTTCTAATCTGAGAAACTGCAACATGATTACAATCTGAAAGATAAAGTATTACACTCAACCATTGCCAATAAAAATATAAGAAAACTGTCATAGTAATGAAAAGGAGATGTTAAAATCTTTCTCCCTGGATAATACTTCACTAGCAATTACTAGGGCTTTGTATATTCTCTGGTCATAGATTTTTGGAAAGTGATTGTGCAGTAAATTCTAAATTTTTTTCAGTTTTAAAAAAAAAAGTTTCTAACCCTTATGATTGCAGTAAAAAGCTTCTCTTTTCTACTTATTCACATTTAAATAATTTGAGGGCTGGAGAAAATGCCTTAAAGTGAGACACACAAAGAGCTCTCTATCTGTTGAGTTTATCAAAAAGAAGATTGAGGTGACTTAATTAGTATATAAGTTCCTTCATGGTCATGGAGAGGTAAGACCACCTCTAAAGGGCTCTTTAATCTAGTGGAGAAAAGCATAACAAGAATCTATTGCTGGAAGATTATCCAGGGAAGATAATGGAGCAAGTAATTAAGGAAATCATCTGCAAACACTTGGAAGGTGGTAAGGTGATAGGAAACAGCCAGCATGGATTTGTAAAGAACAAATCATGTCAAACCAATCTGATAGCTTTCTTCGATAGGATAACGAGTCTTGTGGATAAGGGAGAAGCTGTGGATGTGGTATACCTAGACTTTAGTAAGGCATTTGATACGGTCTCGCATGATATTCTTATCGACAAACTAGGCAAATACAATTTAGATGGGGCTACTATAAGGTGGGTGCATAACTGGCTGGATAACCGTACTCAGAAAGTTGTTATTAATGGTTCCCAATCCT